GTTTGATGATGACTGATGCAAAAAATGTGACCGCTAGAGTGTTAACAAGGTTTTTCTATTTTTAGCTCCGGTGACCTACTTTTTTCATCCGAGATGACCCATGTTTCCAACTCATTTGAGCCATCACCTGGACAAGCATCTTGACCAAGTTTTGATGATGATTGAATGCAAAAATGTGACCGCTAGAGTGTTAACAAGGTGTTTCTATTTTTAGCTCCGGTTACCTAGTTTTTCATCCGAGATGACCCATGTTCGAACTCATCCAAGCTATCAACAAAATAAGCATCCTGATCAAGTTTGATGATGATTGATGCAAAAATGTGACCGCTAAGAGTGTTAACAAGGTTTTTCTATTTATAGCTCCGGTGACCTAGTTTTTCATCCGAGATTACCCATATTCGAACTCATCTAAGCTATTATGGTCATGGTTTGATGATTTTTGGCAGAGTTATGCCCCTTTCAATTTGAAAGTAATGTGAATTTTTTCAGTTTCCGTTCATTATCTCCCCAACGGTATTACACATTCAATTCAAATTTCAAATATGGATACGTCAAAGCAATGGGCAGGTCAACTTTGAATATGGTCATGGTTTGATGATTTTTGGCAGAGTTATGCCCCTTTCAATTTGAAAGTAATGTTAATTTTTCAGTTTCCGTTCATTATCTCCCCAACGGTATTACACATTCAAGTCAAATTTGAAATATGGATATGTCAAAGGAATGCGCAGATCATGTTTGAATTTGGTCATGGTTTAATGATTTTTGACAGAGTTATGCCCCTTTCAATTTGAAAATAATTTGAAATTTTCAGTTTCCGTTCATTATCTCCCCAAGGGTTATTATACATTCAACTCAAATTTGAAATATGGATACGTCAAAAGAGTGTGCAGATCAAGTTCGAATTTGGTCATGGTTCGATGCTTTTTGGCAGAGTTATGCCCCTTTCACTTTGAAAATAATATGAAATTTCCTTTTTTTGTTGATTATCTCCCAAATGGTAGTACACATTCAACTCAAATTTAAAATATGGATACGTCAAAAGAGTGTGCAGATCAAGTTCGAATTTGGTCATTGTTCGATGATTTTTTTTTGCAGAGTAATGCCCCTTTAACTTTGAAAAAAAGGACATTTTCAGTTTCCGTTCATTATCTTTCCAACAGTAACTTGTACATATTCAAATGGATATTTCATTAGAATACACTTGTCAAGTTCGAATTTGGTTATGGTTTGATGATAGCTGACAGAGTTATCTCTCTTGAACTTTGAAAAAAAAAGGAAATTTTCAGTTTCCGTTCATTATCTCCCCAATGGTTGTACACATTCAACTCAAATTTGACATATAGATACATCTTAGACCTGTATAAGCAGTTCAAGTTTGAATTTGGTTGTGGGTCAATGATTTTGGACAAAGTTATCTCTCTTAAATGTTTGAAAAATTTTAAATTTTAATTTTCAGCACTCATACTTTAGTGGAAATGTATGTTGTCATTATTTTGGCTACAAATATGCAATATACAATTTACAAAATGATTAACTTGAACTTTGTATAAAAATGGTTTTTGCTTACATTGAATAGTTTTAAGGCCTTTGAACTTAAAAAAAATAGTTTGTGCAAAAAAGTTGGTTCTAAATATTATATCATCTGAAATTTTTTGGCTGCATGCGGGGGCATCCGTGGCGTGACGACTCATTTCTAGCTTATGTTTAGAGATGTTGCACTTTCTCATTATCACCTTGAACAGACTCAATCAAAAAGAGTCTGTCATTTGCACATAATATTGATGTGTTCACTGCTTCCGCGAGATCACAACCTTTTCCAAACTTTTACAAGTATAGTTCTGATAAAACTCAATATCAAGTTTCCTGTACTTAACTCTTCAACAAGATATAAAATTAAAAGCAACATGAAACGGGAATAAGCCAGGTTATGAAATTCAAGTTCAAACACGAGTCAATTAATTCCCGGATTTGAGAATGAAACAGGTTATTAAAGGAAGCAATTACAAGAATCGAGAAATGGTTTATCTTTTAACCCGAATTTTATTGCTGCTGTACCCCTTCTTAGGCTTTAAAATATGTAGAACCTTTTACTTGTATTTCTTCTAGCATTACTTGTATTGTCATTACTTTTGAGCGCTAACCTGTTTTCACTATTTTCTTTCAGCCAAATTTTATTCGAACCGTATCATTTCAGCAGAGGTCTTACTATAGTCATATTTTTACTGCATCATTAACACCATGTTTAAAAAAGTTGAGGAACGAAAGGAAACACTTAATATGAATTATAACAAGCGTTTTCTTTTTCTTGGCCTAATTAATTTCTTCAGGATATAGTTATTGTTTCAACGTTATACGATTTTAACCATAACACTAGCTAAAATGCATGTAATTTCTCATTCGATTAGTACTACATTATTATGTATTTGTCTCATAATCTGGATTGATTCTGTCTCTCTATGTTAAAGGTTAATCATTTATTCACACTTTAAATACTGCTCGGCATCTTGTACATTATTGCATTATATAACAAAACTTTATCCGACATACTGAAATAAATATCACTCATCTTGAATAACACGACAAGAAAGCTCGAAAGATAATAAAAAATAACATTAAAAGCGTGAGATCTTGATAAAGGAAGTACACATAACTTCCTGGTGATTTCACTTTATCTTTTGATTGATCAATTTGAACATATAAATTACAACAATTCTTTCAGTACGAGGAAGCATGACATTTATTTAAACAATCGTTCCAATAATTAAGATTTAATTGATATAATTAAACGAACGCAGGTAAGCACAATTTACTTATTTAAACTTGTAAATCAGAAATTTAAATGTATGTATTTTCTATTTACAATGCTTAAAAATGTATATCATTTAAATCTTTATTTTGAACATTTTCTGATGACGATCATCGATCAAGTTGATTTTTAACAAAACAAGTTACACAAATGCCACACTTGAATTGGGAGGGGTTGGACATAAACGGATGAAAGATGCAATAAAGGACTCATTATATGTATAATAATTACCTAATTCTATTAAATATAAAATCAGTATATTCCAACAGCTCAAAATATGTTTTCGAAATTTTCCTTACAGGCGGAGCAAATTTCAAACACTTACGATTGCATGCAGATAACAGATATGTCAAGCAAAACAAAAACTATTTTTGCTACAGTAGTTTTGGCATTGAGTTGTGCGATTGAGGCTCAATCATTTTTACCACGGATGATTAACCCCAGGTCAAACGACACAAACTTGAATAACAGTATCATTTTCAAAAACGAAGAATGTAGTTTGACGGTGAATAACGTATCACAGGCCGACTTTACATACAATATTCTGAAACATCGGTACAATTTCGTTTATTTTAAAATTAAAGTTTGTGAACTTTAGTGTTAATGCTACACAAAATGTTTTTTGCAAAAACTAATTGGATTTGGACATACGAAGGAAAAGGGGAGCACATCAATATCTTTACATACCAGAAGATTTTGGGTACATGTCTTTTGGATTACTTTGGGCGCATACAAAGAAAGAAATGATTTCTATTGATATCGAAAAGTCTAGAGAATGTAAGAACCTCACAATAGGCAATAAAGACACAGATAATCTTATCGGTCAAGGCATTAGGCAACATGACATCAGAAATAGCTTCAAAATATGAAATATATAACTCTAGCCTTTGGTGTTACAATAAACGTATTTGGATACACTCAAAATTTCTATATGAATTATGCAAAAAATTCAATATGCACATTCCAAACAAATTGAATATGAAATGCTGCAAATTTACTTTTGATTATATAAAAAAGACCCGTATAATTCAGTGTCACAATGAACATTATCATTATGGGGCACTCTGGTGGATCCTACCCATTATAGCAGGAAATGTTTGTTTTGCCTTCTATCCATTGTTGTTGACACAAATTGGAATAAAAGTGAAGAAATTATCAAAAACAATAAAGAAGGAAAGACGTATATCATTGAATGCAGTCACGCCCGACTCTATTTCTGAAAGCAGTAACAGGTTAAACAAATTAGACTATTTGAATTTAGAATCGACAAATCCAGTATCAGTATTTTCAACATTATTTTCACCTTTATTTACCTTCTTCTACGGCGGGTCAAAAGGTTCACGTACCCTTAGAATTTGGATAATAATTATCCCCATGTGTTTAACAGCTACTCATGTCTTATTAGATTATATATATGCTTATGATTTTACGAAATCTGCGGTACAAAAAGGAGCTCTCCTAGGATATAGTGCACTCTTAATGGGGTAAGCGAAGCAAGAAAAAAATTTATGTATGTATTTCGGTGGCCCAGTTTGTTACTTTCTCAATTTGTGTTTCATTTGGTGTCTTTTGATTGTGTTTCCCTCAAATTTAGAAGATTTTCTTGCTATTGGTATCACAAAAACGCGTCAAGAAATTTGTATTTTTGACCAGAATGCCAATTAAGCTTAAAGAAAATTTGTCAGGAATAAATGTCAGACATCTGAAAGGATGCAAAAAACTTCACCGACTTCTTCTAGCCCATATATTTATGTTAATTCATTCACGGTTTTGGAAGCAATCAGTAAAGTTATTCTATGTAAGGTGGAAAAATATTATCTTTTCAATGATGTACAATAGATTGCAAAACTTGTTTATTGCCATTATGTTAAGTGCCCTCCTGTTACCTGTATACATCGTGTTTTGTATGACTGAGTTATTGCTAGCCGTTATTTATTATCTATTTCCAGTAGTCAACTGTTTTTTCATTGTTTTGAATTCTTTTTGTATTCAGTATTATGATTGTTTCCATCGTAGAGGTTTTGTAGTGAAATGTTGTAAACATATTTTCCTAATACCTATGTTGATCTTATTTTCCATTTCCTGGTATACGTATTGCTTGATATTCTTTGATGGGTTTTGGTTTTTGTGTAGAATTATCATGTTAACGTACAGTGGCATCGTTGCGTATCCACAATTATCTTACGGATATCTTGTTCTTGTCTTTATGACTTTGTTTTATGTGGCAGAGAGTATCAATTCATTTGGAGAGAGTTACAGAGAACTTTTAAAAGTAAGCTTAAAAGCTTGCGAAAAGTTTCAACAGAAGTATGATGATGATGCTGAAATGGATCAAGACAAAATTAAAAGCATCCGAACTAAATATGGCATTAAGACAGAACTTTTTGATTTGATCATATGCAGTAATTTGCCAAGAAAAAATCAGTTGTTGATTACGATGTTAAAACTGACATCGGTGATAATTGTGTTGATAATATCAGTTGAGTTACTTGTCACATTCGACAAGTTAAAAGAGCTCTCAATCGTGATGCATGTATTCACTGTTTTATTTGTATGTGCATTACCGAAAATTGTAAAAATGATGTGCTTTCATAAACACAAAGATATGGCTCAAAGGAAAATTAAACGAAACGTTTCATAACGATAACAATAATACATAAGAAACAAAAATGAAAGTACATTCTAGACACTCTAGTGATGAATATTGTAGCATTTTTGTTTCAAGCTCTGGGGTACGAATCTTTTATGAGCAGTGATACAGATAATGAATAAGTGTTGATAAAAATACGTAAAAAACATGAGCAGGCTTTTTAAAAACATTTTTTCAAACAACTACATGTATGTTTCACTAAATAAGTATTGAAAATAAATTAATTGTTTCTTATGTACAGGGTAATATTCTGTTATACAAAGCTAAATAATTTATATCAATCATTTAAATCTTTATTTTTTAAAAAATTTTTGATGACGATCAAGTTGATTTTTACTTTGACAATACAAGTTACACAAACGTTACACTTAAATTGGGAGGGATTTGAACAAAACCGGATGAAAGATGCAAAAAAATATTTTATTTTTTAACATGTTTATTAATATGCTTTGTTAAATTCATATTATACGGTATGTCGTATTATCCCTTATATCATGTATATATACTTAATAGTGCTTGTTTGCGAAAACTTTTAATCTGTGAAAAATCACTCTTTCTAGTCAGCTGTCTGCAGGAGACTAAGCACAACTTTTGCTTTGAGAAGAAACATTGCTTATACCACTAGTCTACCGCTCAAAACGATTTTATTTACTGTTGTGTGGTTGAAATAACTTTGGAAAAAGTGCAAACTGTTTGAATTTATGAGTTAATTTACAACCAAAATTGTCTGAAGTGGCTTGTAAAGTAAATACTTCTATTTCTTTGATCATCTTTGATTTTTTTTACTCGCACAATTTATTAAGCACAACTTATAAAGCTTTGTACCACTTTGGCTTATCAAAGATCAAATATGATACAATATTGATACAATATTAAAACCGATATTCAGTATATTATAATGAAAAAATGTTGGACATCTTTATCGTATTGTTGTCAAATAAATGTCAAGGCAAATGTCATATGCTTCGCTAAAGTTTTTCTTTCTTTCCCGAGCCAACGCCGCCAATTAGGGGCTACGCTCGTTTAATGTTTCTTTGAATTCTTATTTTCATAGGCTAGCACAAAATAAAATTGTATTGAAGAATGAATTATTGTAATGTACAGAATTTGATAAATAAAGATCATGTTGGTTTAGCTATAAGAGTTGTTGTGTCCAAGTATGAATCGAATCCCTAAATTAATTATAAAGTAAATAACAAACAATTCAAGCAGAAATAGAAAATGACCTTTTAGTCAAGTCAATATGTTTATAAAATCTATATACACGTACATGTACTTGCCTGTTGATTTATGAAGAGCATGGAATGTTCTGTTTTTATTAAACCTCGTTAAAAAGGTTCGCAATAACTCATAATAGCACCTAAATAAAATCAATTAATTGTCAAATATCATTTAGTGTGCCTTTTTTTCAACTGGATTTTATTCATTGCAACTGATAACGACAATTATTTTGGTTTTAAATTGTTAAGAAGTTATTAAGCAGGAAATGGTTGTCTCATTATACTCAATCATAATAAGTCAAGTCGACACTGTAATGATCATGTGTCGACTGTCTTACTTTACTCGTTTAGGGAGACATCGGGTACCTTTCCATTCTTTACTCTTGGCACAAAGCAGCACTGAAGATCCGAAACCTAGCTTCCTCACATGAAAGAATTTAAAGTCTCTGGTAGGATTCGAACCTACAGCGGTGAAGGGCAAGTCATTTGAAATGATTTTAAACTTAAAGATTCTTTTTTAAAAACTGCAGGATATGTAAGGGAAAATCAAATAACGGTTGGGGAAATGTGTACATATTGACATGAATGACAATTAAGTTTTTCCGGCAACTTTACTGGTATATTTGCTTTCTGGACTATTTTTAAGATCTATATTTTCACAAATCATGAAATGATTAAAAATATTAAAATGATTTTACCATTAACATGGTATTCACTTTTCACAACGATTTAAAGTTGGAGATTTGTTTATATAACAAAAAGATATGACAAAAAGGTTTCTTACTAAATAATTATTTTAGCTTTAATTGAAAGAAAGCAAGATTTATATATAAATTAGAAATACTTCAAAATAGCATTCAACATTTTAATCACTTAAATAACAGAACCATAAGGGCCCTGATTTGCTCACCTAAATAAATATGGTTGTGTGATTTAAACAAATTTCATAGACAATCATAAGATGATGCTTAAAGTTCTATTCTTTTTGGTTTCAGAGAAGATATTTTTTTAACTTTTCCTCAAATAAGTCTATATAAAATATGAAACCCTTTTGGGTCAATTTGACCCCAGGCACATAATTTGAATAAAAAAATCATAGACAACCATAACATGATCCTTAATGCAAAATATCAAAACCCTTGGCCTTTTGATTTCAGAGAAGAAGATTTTAAAGTTTTCTAAATACAGTACAATTTAAATGCTAAGAATAAGAAAAATCTTCGGTTAGGCCAATTTTTACACAAGGGGCACAATTTCAACAACCTTTGCAAAGGACCATAAGATGATGCTAAATACAGAACATTTAGGCACTTGACCTTGTGGTTTCGAAGAGTAATCTTTTGGTTGCCATGGTAACAAGTTATAATCTTAAAATGAAATCCACCGCCTCCGTGGTCAAGGGGTTAGAGTCGATGACTTCTAATCCAGTTACCTCTCTGGCGTGGGTTCGATCCCCGGGAGATGCTTTGGTAGTTTAGCACGGAGGAAGGTAGTCTAGTACTAGTATTACTCTCCAGGAACGATGGTTAGGAAACTACCCGCCTGAAATAGGGCTGGGAAAAGGCGTAAAATGAAACAAACAAACAAACAAACAACATAAAATGAAATCCAGTCTGTCCATGTATGGTATAAAAGTATTTCATAATTGCAGGTTAATGCCGGATTAAGGGCAGCAACTTTGTATCTTTTCATGCTACATGCCACTGTAATTATGACAAACGGAGGTCGCACAGCACCATCATACATGACGTTTTAGTATTATATTGCAAGTTTCGTTGTTTGTCCTGTTTACATTTTTATTTGTTTGGGTCGTTAGACCAAACAAATAATGGTAGCGAAATTTCAGACTCTGATGCTGTTAATTGCAAATGCCGAAAGTAGTCCGCTTTTTTGAAGCGGTTACTTCCCTTTCAGGCCGTTAGCATATAACTTCACCCTGGCCGAGGGATTTGCACACTCGCTAAGGAATAGAGAGGTCTGGAGTTCAAATCCCAGTTAAGGCAAGTCAAATTTTTTTGAAATGTTTAAGTCAAATAAACATTGAATTGAATATCAGTGTTGCAATTAGTCTTATAGCCAATTTACTACAATTAAAACACTGGAAAGCATTGGTGGTACTATACAAAAACAAACTGGTTTATAATCTCACAACCTTCACCTTTATGACATTCTGAGACCCAAACAAATTCAGCGCCTTCTGTGCTTTGATTTATAAAAGCCGTTGCTCAAGACCTATTAAGAATATCTTATTATTAAAGTTGTCCTCGTTACATATACTGCTAATCAGTTCATAATAACTTAGGGTGACTGCTTCATTATGTCCCTTTTCTAGCCAATGTGTTAGGGTCATAAATTTTAAATGCTAAGTTATAAATATTAATGAATAAGTTATGACTTATAAATTATAATTAATAAATACTAAGTTTTAATTAATAAATGATACTACCAGGCTTTTGTAAAAGCCTGCCCCGCCAGTACGATATATTCACTAGTTGACAGATGGCGATCGAAGTTAAAGAAAAGATTGTTATAACATAGAGTATCATAGAGTTTACATGTAACTTCATGATTTTAATCAATGTAGCTAACTTTTTAAGATAAGTAATAAAATGGATTAAGTAACAAAAGTAGTTTATAATGAAATTCACGTAGAAAGACGAATCAAATTATTCCTGGATCAAAAATAATGTACACACACAAGGTTGTTTGAGGGGAGGGCGCTCGTTCAAGTGCTGATCTTTTAACACTGTTACATGAATTTATAAAGAATAAACATTGCCTAAGCAGTTATCATGGCACCCTACAATGTGACACATCTGTGTCATTCCATGAAAAGCGGCGTATGGTCCCTAAGTAATAGAAAGCAATCGCCCTAAACGACAAAACAATGGGCAGAACTAATCGATATGGAATTTTGAAAGGGGATCAGTTTTACGGAGCCTGCATATCACATATAATACGTCAAAGGACAAAGTTAAAAAGTAGGCAACTTATCCTTAGGGTGATTCAACATTATTTAAGAAGGAATATTGGAACCACCCAACTAGAAAGTGCCAAAAAGTTGAAACTAAAATACCACAAACACAACAATAATGTCGTGCTGAACGATCCTTAAGGATCTCTGATTGAATGTACGGGGCGACTTTTAACAGCCTCCACACGGCAAAAACAACGCAATAAAGTTGCATTTAATATATTTATAAAAAAAAGAAATAGCTACCTTTCGTTAATCAAATGTGTTTCATATCGACTCATTTTATTATTTTGGTGTCAAGACAACCAAAACGAGTTTTATAAGCCTAACATTATGCAACCTCATTGTGGTGAAATCGGAAGAACAATTTCAATTTGCATGAGAATATCCGCCTTTGGTCACCCGTACATCAATATCAAATCAACAAACATTTTAAAGTAGCAGTCCTAATTTAACGGTATGTTTCCGCATTATATTACGGATGTTTTTCATACAAATTCAATCTTTTATGAGATGATTACTTTTTTGTGAACAACGGGGCAAATGCACCGTGAAACTAAAACGGTATAAGTTTGTTTACACAAGAATATCTAATATTTTCTGTGATCCACAATGTAACAATTAGGTATACCACTGTAACGTAACACATATACGAGCAAATAATAAAGTCTTCATTTGCATGTTAAATTTAGTATATGAACTTTAGTGTTATCGCAGGGTTTTCCTTTTAAAATCATAACTTATCGACACATTTTTTTTTAGATTTACAGCAAAGCAAAGGGTAATTGAATGTCTTT